CCCCCCCCCCCCCCGGTTAAACTGAAGATAATCCTTATTAAGAACACATTAGCTGTTCTTATGGAAAAAGAACACAATTAGCTATAAATTAATTGAGGCTACACAAGAAAAATTGAAGCTTGGAGTTCACACAAAACAAAAAAAGACTATAGCTAAACTTCATAAAGCTACTCCCAATTAATTAAAAAGTCTACCATTAGCTTCCCTTAACAGTATTTACTAAAGTATTGAAACTGAGTGCACCTCATTTGACAATATAATAAGATTAAAATAATATGAGCTAAAACCAAACCTAAATCCCCAGCATCTTCAGAGAGGGCAAGTTGAATAACACCCTTTAAATCATAAGTTGGGTGTGCTGGTGGCTTCACTACTAATGACTCCACTGCATTTTTGGTGGCTATTGCTGACATTTTCACAACCAACCTGCAATTTACAGACAAAATTTAATCAGAAACTCATAAAGGAATAATCTTTATCAGTACAAAACAATAAGAACATGATTTTCAAGAATCTTTTTTTTTCCTTTCTGGGTGGAATTGAGTGGTTTTAAAGAAACATTGGGAGCTGTAATTGCATAAAAGAACAATCTTTATCAGTATATATAACAAAAATAAAAACATGATTTTCAAGAATCCTTTTTTTTTTTTTTGCTTCTGGGTTAAATTGAGGGGTTCTAAAGAAACCTTGGTGCTGTAATTGCATGAGGGTGCACTATTGCAGTGAAAGGAAAAACTTTAAACATTGAAATTTTGATTTTTGGAGCAAATAGCTTTGCTGAGCTTAGTGGTTTCTTGGGTTGTGAGAACTTCGAGAAAATGACAAATATAGTCCCTTATGTTTGAGGATAAGTTCAAAGTAGTCCCTTAAGTATACTCTGAATACTTTTGGTCCTAAAATTTGGCCAAGCTTATTTTTGGCCAAAAGTTCTTTTTTTTTTTTGCCAAAAGTACTTTTGGCCAAAAATTGAGGTGTTTGGCCAAGCTTCTGGAAGGAAAAAAATAATTTTGGAGAAGCAGAAAAAAAGTAGCTTCTCTCCAAAATTACTTTTTTGAGAAGCACTTTTGAGAAATACACTTAGAAACAGTTTTTTAAAGCTTGGCGAAACACTAATTGCTACTCAGAAGTGCTTTTTAAACTAATTAGCCAAACACAAACTGCTTCTCATCAAAAGTACTTTTGAAAAAAAGCACTTATCAAAATAAGCTGATTTTTGCAGCTTGGCCAAACGGGCTATTAATGAGCTCTGTGTCTCTTAGATTTGATGAGTATTATGATAAAAAAAGATTTAACCTTAGGAAAGGTCTATCAAATCCTAAAAAGCGAAGAAAAAAAATTGTACTAAAGACAAAAGAAAAATATACTAAAAATAGCAAAAATCATACCTAAAGAAGTTTGCATCAAACTCTAATATATACGGAAAATAGTACAAACTACAAAAGTTACTGCATATGAGTTCCCACTAAATCTCTTTTTTTACAGTTCTCATTAAATTAACAGATATAATTTGTAAATTTTGTACAAAGATCAAAAGTATTAAATTTTTACAAACTTAAAGAACCATAACTGCTTAAAGCATACCTAAAGGACAACTTTGAACCTATCCTCATACATACGGGACCATTTTTGTCATTTTTTCTATTCTTGAAAAGGAAAAGAAGGTTTTCTAAAACAAAATAGTCCTCCAATTATGTCAATTTGTTGTTGTTTTGGTCCATATGGTTTAACAGGGTGACCACAATAGCTTATTTTTCACTTCCCTTTTATGGAACATTGGTATATGCCTTTCAGAATATCAAATTTGTAAAGAAGCAAGATACAATATTCGATTGACAGATAATAAATAAATGTATAAAAACAAACAGATAAATACATAAGCTTAGGCGTTTCTTTTTTAAATTATCATTTCTTTTATCAGTTAGTCATATATGACGAGTTATAAATTATTTGGGTGGAGGTGGGGGAGGGGGGTTGACCAATCATTGTTGATCCTCCCAAGAATAATGATGGTTCAGATCATAAAGACTTTTGAAGATTCGTCTCAAAGGAAGGTGTCCTAATAAGTTCCAATAAATGTCTCTTTTTCCATTCTGCAACAACATTTTGCTATGGGGTGTATGGGCATGTCATTTGAGACTCAATACCTTGCTTTTTCAAATACCCTTGCAGCAGTTTATGAGAGATGTACTTTCTACCATTATCCAACTTAAGTCTTTTTATAGAAGCATTATATGGAATTTTAACATTCTTTTGATACAAAGGAAGGATAAAACTAACTCCATCCTTAGATATTTGTTGATAAACAGTAGTAAGACGAGAGAAAGAATCTAAAAAAGTCACAAAATCATTATAACCCGATAAAGAAAGAGTAGGGGTAGGTAGAGTCTTTTGCTCGTATGCTTGATATTACTATAGTCGCACCAGTCTTCCTTCCTTTTTAGTGCACATGAAATGGAAATCCTAATAGAGACTACCCACACGTTGATCAAAACTCTTCCTTCTCTGCTTCACTATCAATTGATTGGCGCATGAACGAAGCTGTAACGGAGTATGTACGCGACGATCAAACACGGCTTTGCCAGCTGCCTGTGATAGGAAAAAGAAAACTTGATCAGATAGTTCGTGCGAGGCATTTTCCACCTCGCCTTTGATCTTTCCCTTGCCGTGTAGGTAAAGCTGGAAGAGCCTCATTGGCTCGACAGCTGACAAGCAAACCTTCCATTCTTATGTTTACATCACTTCTCTCTTTTTCGCATTGACCAGACAAAGGTTTCAAATGAGCATCCCATGGGGCAGCCATAGCTTGAACCTTCCTTCTCGCAGTCAGCTATATAACTCAGGCAGCAAAGGTTCGAGCAGGATGGCGGTTAGTGTGAGCACGTGATTTTTGTTTACGCGACAATCACTCCAAAAAGAAATCAAAAATAATAACAAATGGTCTTGCTGTACAATTTTTGGAATTTACATGATATTTTTGGTAGTTATTTGTGGTTTTGTCCATTCTTATTTAGTCTAATCAAACGAAAATACAAAAAATATATGTCGTGTGTAATTAAACCATAATTCGGTTATTAAAAAAAAATCACAAATATGCATCTTTGATTCTATTTGTCGCCATGGTGTAATTTTACCTATTTAAATATTTTAATATGTGTGTGATAATTGTGTTAAGTGCTAATTAATGGGTGTTTAATTTCATTTTAATTAGGTATTGGTTTTAAATTAGAAAATAAAAGAAAAAGAGTGCAAATTGTTTTAAGAAATCGGATTGGGCCTGTTTTCTTTAAATTTGAGGCCCAAAAGCAGCCCAAGGCAGCCGGTCCAAGCGACCCATCTCCCAGGCCACCAAACGACGTAGTTTGACACCAAAACTACGTCATTTCAAGGACAACCCATCTCAGCCGTTCAAACCAGGTTGATCTGACGGCCCTCGTCCCATCTCCTTTACCCGTTACGTGACCCGACCCAATGAAACCCTGTTTGATCCGTTCCCAGCATAAGACCAAATGACGCCGTTCCCCCTAGTGGAATGATCAAGGCCATTGATCATTGTTGATCCAACGGCCAACATCAAACCATTCACTCCGTATATAAGCTTACCTCCT